ATGTTTAATGTTTATTTATATGTCAAAAAAAAAGTTTTTGGACAGACGTCATACAAAATATATATGTATACTTCAACAATGAGTATCTAAAACAGTAACTTAACTAATACAGTTCGGTCATACGGTGGACATTACTTAGGAATTCTTCTACCGAGTAAAAGGCCTCAGACACCAAAAAATGTTTAACACGATTTTTAAAACGCGCGGTGTTCATGTTCTTTATGCAATCCGGTAGTTTGTTATAAAGTTTTGTACCCTGGTAGTCCACACCTTGCTGGGTCACCTTAAGACGGTGATACGGAACCCTTATAGAGTCTTTTTGTCGCGTATTATATTCGTGATGTACGGAGTTTATGTCATAGAGATGTGTATTATTATGTACATGGTTAACACAGGTAAGTATGTACATGCAGGGCACGGTAAGTATATCAATTTTTTTAAAATGTTCTTTACATGATTCTAAATTTTTTAGATTACACAAAGCGCGGATACAACTCTTTTGTAGCTTAAACACCCTGTTGATTCCCGGACCCGAACCCCAAATGGAGATGCCATATGAGGCCACTGCATGAAAACAAGAGAAATATGCTGTTCTTACTACTTCAGGTTCGGTACACTTCACCAATCTTCGCACCATAAAAACTGCACTCGCGAGTCTTCTACAAAGGGCACTCACATGGTCATCCCAGGTGAGACGATTGTTCAACTTCAAGCCAAGAAAGTTCACCACGTTATAGTTTCCTTTCGTGAGAAAGTTAATTTTTTGATTCTTTTGTTCATTGAGGATGAGCTTGTTCGCTCGCAACCAATCAGACGCGTCTTCTAAGACATCGTTAGTTCTCAATTGTGTTTCTTCTCTCGTTTTCCCTTTTACTACGAACGACGTATCATCCGCATATAGATACGTTTCTGAGTTTTTTATGTTTCGAGGAAGATCGTTCATATACAGTATAAATAAGATCGGTCCCAGGATTGATCCTTGGGGTACACCGTATCTATTGTTTTTCACATCGGATATTGAACCATTCCAAGCGACATATTGTGTTCTGTTACTCAGATACGATTTCATTAGACTTAGTGTTGATCCCCGTACGCCGTAAAAGGCGAGCTTATCCAGTAATAGATTATGGTCCACCGTATCAAAAGCTTTGGTGAGGTCGCAACAGGTCATTTCCACGCTTTCTCGATTGTCATGAGCTTCCGTGACATCGCGTATCATTCGGGTAACAGCTGTGATCGTCGATCTTCCGGTCCTGTAACCATGTTGGCTATCGTCAAATATTTTATTTTTTTGCAAGTAGCTGATTAGTCGGCGTTTTATTACTTCTTCGAAGATTTTCGAAAACACTGGAAGGAGGGCAATCGATCTGTAATTTGAGCAATCGTTGTCATCTCCTTTTTTGTAGATTGGAACGATCCTGGCCTGTTTCATCCCTCTTCAATACATTTGTTTAAAACCATACAAAGCGGTTCAGAGATTTTCATCATCAAAGATTTGTGCCCAGAAATAAAGAGAAAAATCGAAATGGCAAACGAGAGACTGGTTAAGAATCTTGGACCATAATAAGAATCTTGCTCTTAGTGAGATGGACGAGAGTGCGACGTCTACAATGGAGGAACCACGTTGATAGGATGGCAGAAATTAAGAACGAAGCGTCCAGTTGGAAGACCACCCAAATGCTGACAAGAAAACTGGACATCCTTATTACTAGAATGAGATAGAACAGACAAGACTAGAAAGTACACACTTCGCAAAAATTTTTGTAACAACAATTACTTATTATATCGTTTTAATTTTAATCAAATTTATTTATAACAAACGAAATTTAATTATAGTTAGTACTTTATTATTTTAGTTAATAAATTTGTACTGTATAATTTGTCGACAATTTGATGAGTTAATCTCCAACGTTATCTCAACACTAATTAATTTAAAAGCTTATGAAGAGTTCCGAAAATAATATGTTTATTGTATCAAAAAATAAATATTGTCTAAAAATATATTCGTTAATCATTACACTTCCGTTTCATGCAACCTTCAGTTCACGTAATGAATTATTAATATCGTTTTATTGGAATATCCATATGATCCATATGTTTTGTGAATATAAATTGTTTGTATTAAAACATTTTTTATTATTAATCTTTATACAGGGTGCCCGGAAATTGCGTTCATATATTTAAAGGTGTGATTCTACATAAAAAATCATGAAGAAAAGTTCATATAAAGATGTGTCCTAAAATGCTTCCTAAGGGAGTTAGAGGGCTTTGAAGAAGACGTTTAATATGAGGTTATTTCTCATTATTACAAAAACTACTAGGGTTAGAAACACGAAATTTTGCATATCCAGCTATTTTTACGGGGGGAATACGATAATCGAATAAAAAATTAGAAGGAATGTGCAGTTGCGGAATTTATTTCCCATATTTTTTTTTGCTTTGATGTTTTCACTATTTTAACCTCAAAATTAGAATCTACGGAAACAAATACATAAAAAATGTTCTGCTTATAAAATGGTCTACGACCACTCGTTTTCAAGATAAATAATGCTAAGTAAAATACTGCACACAAACATGTATATTAAACTATCACTAAAAATCTTAGTAGGCTCCTTTCATTTGTTGATCTTTGCTGTCAAACGGTCGATAAAAAATTATTTTAGTGCAACAACCATTATAATTTACGTTTAATTAAATCAAAATGGTTCAATACTCAAACGAAGTGGTGGCAAACATTCACTTTACGTACGGTAGAGCTGATGGAAATGCCAGAGAAGCACGAAGATTGTACGCAGAACGATATCCAAACCTACAACTTCCCTGTGAACAAACGTTCGCTTCTATTCATAGAAGATTGTGTGAAACTGGGCGCTTTAAGTAAAATCATTACGACTGTGGAAGATCATGCACTACGAGGACTATAGAAGTGGAAGAAAGGGTGCTCGATGCAGTAGCTATCAATCCTACGGTAAGCACTAGGAGATTATCGGTACAAGAAAATGTGCCGAAAACCACCGTTTGGGAGGTATTTAAAGATCAGCTACTGCATCCATATCATTTCCAAAAGGTGCAGGCCTTAAAACCCACCGATAGCATCCCAAGACTACAGTTCAGTCGTTGGATTATGGAACAATGGCGCCATGACAGAAATTTTCCGGAAAAAGTGTTGTTTACCGATGAAGCTGGATTTACCCGAGATGGCGTCATTAACTTCCATAATATCCATGTTTGGGCCGATGAAAACCCATACAATGTTTTAGCCACGAAACATCAAGAAAGATTTTCTATTAATGTATGGGTTGGTATTATTGGGGATCATTTAATTGGTCCGCATGTACTTGATAACCGTCTCAACGGTACAACTTATCTTAACTTTTTGCAAAATACCTTGTTTGAACTGATGGAAGAAGTACCGTATCAAACACGAAGGGAAATGTGGTTTATGCATGATGGGGCTCATTTCAGCGTTCAAGTACGACAATATTTAAATGAAACCTACCGTGAAAGATGGATAGGTCGAGGAGCGCCCGTAGCACGTACATGTTTGTGTGCAGTATATTACTTAGTATCATTTATCTTGAAAACGAGTGGTCGTAGACCATTTTATAAGCAGAACATTTTTTATGTATTTTTTTCCGTAGATTCTAATTTTGAGGTTAAAATAGTGAAAAGATCAAAGCAAAATCCCTTATTTCCGCAACTGCACATTCCTTCTAATTTTTTATTCGATTATCGTATTCGCCCAGTAAAAATAGCTGGATATGCAAAATTTCGTGTTTCTAACCCTACTAGTTTTTGAAATAATGAGAAATAACCTCATATTGAACGTCTTCTTCAAAGCGCTCTACCTCCCTTAGGAAGCATTTTAGGACACACCTTTATATGAACTTTTCTTCATGATTTTTTATGTAGAATTACACCTTTAAATATATGAACGCAATTTCCGGGCACCCTGTATTTTGACATTAGAAAGAATATAACAAGGCGGTTATAACCGTAAAAATATCCATAAAACCGTTAAGTAATATACCATAAATTATATAAAAAAAGAGACATTTTTACGGTTACAATTTTATGTCGCAGACCACACAACACTACGATCCTCCATAAACCATAAGGTAAGAAATCGCGTTATTAAGGTTAATAACGTTTGCTAGGGAGCAAATTGCTGTTATTACTTAATACGTTGTGATGATATAAGTTGAGTTAACTTGTTTCTTTCGCAGAAAGAATTTAAAAGAAACCTTATTCAAATGGAAAACAATAAAATTTTATGACCGATTTTTTGTTCCAACTTGTTTACATTCCAAGCGGAGTAAATTGAAAAATACTTCCTATTGAAGCAAATTAACCGTTAACAAAAACATATTTTCAGAATTAAATTCAGAGAAAGTTATAATCAAATTAAACGAAATCGTATTTTACTTGTTGTTCAATTTAAATTTAGAAAGCAATTTTTTGTGAAGAATTCTTACGTCCTGCATAAAAATTGATTGAGTTTTTCTGCTCGAAAGCCGTTTCAATAGAAAAAAGGAAGCTTAAAAGTGGAAGAGTTTTAATTTAAACTCTTCTCGCTTTTTAATCTAGATCCATTCGAGTTCTATTCTGTATGCACTGCATTGTGAAGGCCTATATTTGCATAATAATCTTGCGTGCGATTGTAAGTCATATTAAGGACGGGTTTTTATGTTGTCTTTTTAATGAAAAAAAAATTAATCGTTATTAAAGATGGTTATGGTTAATTTTTGAATTAATTAACATTTTCTTATCACTATTTACGTTATAAACGCCTAGATGATGATTAGTTGTTGTATACACATCCGGTTGATTCTCTCGTTGTGGTAGTATTCGATAAGTTTTCTTCTTCAAAAGAACACTAATATTATGAATAACAATAAATTTTTAATTTCAGCCATTTACAATTGGCGTGGCGACAAGAAATTCGGCCTACCTTTAGAGATCGGTGAAACAGTACAAATTTTAGAAGAATGTTCGGGGTGGTATCGTGGATTTTCGATGAAAAATCGCGCCGTCAAAGGTATCTTTCCACAGAGTTACATCCATCTAAAACCGTGCAAGGTCGACAACGAGGGATTGTTCGAAAGCGTTGTGCCATTGGAAGATCCTATAGTCAGGGAAGTTACCTTAGTGTTAAGAGAGTGGAGTGATATATGGAAAAAACTTTATGTGGTAAGATGATACGAATAATGCTTCTTAATTGGTTCTAATTTTTTTTATTTATTTTTGTTATTAGGAAAGAGAAACTTACAAATTTGATACAGTGGGAAAAGTGATGCGGGATCTACTTGAATGGAGGAGGCAGTTGGTGTCGGGAACCTTAACACATGATCAGACTAAGGAATTAAAAACAAAGATCATTGCTAAAATTGATTGGGGTAACAGGTAAGTAATTAAATTTTTTATGATTTTAAGAGTTAAAAAAGTAGCTTATGAAAATGGTCTAGGTATGTACAAGGTTATTTTTTGAATAACTTGAAAACAACTCAATATTCTGTTTGTATTCGATCATTTTATTGAAATTTGGACTTGTACAATTTGTTTAGACACTTTCTGAAAGTGATGCCTGGTAGGTGGCGATTTTCTGGCGTATGTTAACCTTAAGTTGCTCGAGCGTGTCTGGCTTGTTGACATAAACTTTAATAGATTTAGACACATGTTGCATCATCTTGCTGGAACCAGTAGTTCTCCATGTCATTTTTTTCGAGTTTAGTTGCCAAACCATCATCGTAGAGAGGCCAAACTATGATGAACTAAGTTAGGTTGAGTTGGGTTTCGATGTACCTTTGTGAACACTTACCAGTGTCATGACGTCGATGTAAGTCTTCATAAAGTTCCTATGTTGCTATATTTGAAAGCTCCCAATACATTACCTTCCACCACTTGATTATCTCTCCATGGTCTTTTCCATACAGACTAGATATTGCCCATGCCTTACTTATTGTTTTCCTCATTCAGCTTTGACAGATGTTGTCATTGTAGGCAGAGCAGATTTTGTGCAATTTAGTTCAAAAAGCCCAAGCTTTTAGTTGTTTTGGAGTAACCTCATTCAAATTAAGGGATTCATTCCCAGAATTAAACTATTGAAAATTGTTTGGTGACTGTCCATTTTTATCACAGAACACTGATGACAGTTATCACAAGCACAGAAGTCGCTTGGTGACTTGTTACGTTTTACGATTCGGCCATCTTCAGAGACTCTACAAATAGATTAACATCTTTCATCTTATCCATTTTACAAACAAGTTTCTTAATATTTGTTTTGTTAAAAAAGATCACATATCAAAGTCGAAATCAGATTATTAGTTACTAATTTACAAAATTAAAATTTATAAAGTTGTAAAATGAAATTAAGGACGAAATGTTACAAGTTTACAGATTAAGAACGATTAAAAACCTTGGGAAAAATTCAAGAATCATCATGTGGCTTAAAAATGGACGATTTTTTTTAATCAATGTGAAATGACCCAAAAAACACGTTAAAAATAAAAAGAAAATGCGGAAAAGTGACTAACACTAGATTAACTTCAGTTATAAAACGTCTATTACATGATAACTAACTTCACGTTTAAAATGTCAACCTCAATTTTGACATATTTGGAATCTTCATTAAAAATCCTTTAAAATGAGTACAAACACGACATATTTATCTTCAATATTAACGAAGTTATGGTCAACTTCCGGTTAAGAATGTCAACGTCAATTTTGACATATTTGTAATCGTCGTGAAAAATCTTTTAAAATGAGTCCAAACATGATACATTTAATTCCAATATTACTCGAGATTTAAGCAACTTCCGATTTGAAATGTCAATGTCATTTTGACATATTCCTAATTTTTATAAAATGTCTATTTGTCACAAAAATATATTAAAAAAAATCAAAAATTAAGGTTGGTGATATTTAAAAATTAATTTGCTCTCTTCATTGTTGCTAACGTCGGGTTTAATATTTTTTATTGTAACTTTTTTGTTTTTTGAGATAAGTGCGTCATCTTTAGACTCATTTTAAAGGATTTTTTATGAAGTTGACAAATATGTCAAAATTAAAAGTTGAAAGTTCGAACTTTTTGGTTTTTTGAGATAAATGCGTCAAGTTTGGACTCACTTTAAAGGTTATTTTATGATGCAAATCACACTTGAAATCGTATAACGTGATTGGCTTTATCCTTTAAAACAAATAGTATTTTAGGTCTTTCACTATTCTGCATTTTTTCTAAGATAGACAGAAAATCTCTAAAAACGATAAAATGTCGCTTAATCAAGTGATGTATAACGCGATGATGTTTAATTTTCTTTACTATTTGTATATATTGGTTTGCCTATATTCTCTTTTAATACAATTTAAAGCTATTTGTTGAAGGTTTTTAAAATCTAACAAAAGAAATGTTCTAAAAACCTTTATTTATTGAATCCAAAACAAAATACAGCTTTGACAAGGTTAAGGCAATGTATATCAAGTTTACATCAAGCCATAAAAAATACATTTGTTCGGATTGCACCTTATTCAACATAAATCAATAAAAAAATCAAATGCCTCATTTAATTTTTTTAATTTGAATTTATTAAAGGCACTTTGTTCGAATGCGGTTCCTAAGTCGTATCAATTGCGATGCACTTACATGTTTACAGTCTTAAACAGTAAAAAATAAAAGAAAATATAATAGCTAGTCTTATAAAAGCATTACAAAACTTGCGTCGAAGTTATACAATATCTAAATTAGGAATGATCACAATAAAAAAACACTAAACGCTAATAAGGGGGCAATTGCGATAATAATACTAAAAATTAAAGGAATTTTGATAACGAGATCTTAGTCTCCATCGTCACTATAGCGCAATATGTAATAAATACATATTAATTACATCAGCCCATCATTTATGTTTTAGTCTCTCTACCAAAAGACTCTATTTCTGGATAAATAGGACTCATTTCCAAAGTACTTGGAGCTGATGGCAAGTTGCTGTTGCTACCAAAGTTTAAACGGCGTACCAAATCATCTAAAATTTCTCCAAATATCATCAAATTTAGGTTTTGTCCAAGTAAATGTAACAAAAGGAAATCGCCGACCTAAAAAAAATAATTATAAAACTGTTAAATTTTGAATTGAAGTTTCTTGCCTGAGTTTTTCGTATAATAGTATCAACTCCAGAAGGTGTTCCAAACCTGAAACGTCTCTTCAAAATGGTTTCTCTAATATTAGGCAATAAAATCACAGCTGCTGAATAAAACAAAGCCACTCCAGATAATACAGCAAGTATAATAAACCAGAACCAAAGGAATATGTAAATCTTCTCATTTAATATGTTCACTGCTAAAACGCACAGAGCATCGTGCGTTTGAATGGTTCCTGTTGGACCATATTTGTGGAATGTACATTTTGTTACGCGTGGAAAAACTGCCACCATTGGATCAGTTCGATTTTCTTGGTTCATATTCGAATAACGGATCACGTCAGTTCCATAATCCAAGAAAGCTCCTCCAAGAAATTTATCCGTCATAAATATGTTAATTAACTAAAAAAAATTATTTAATAAATTGAAATTTTATTTAATTCAAGTAAAATACTTACAACATTAATAAAATTTAATGCTTCTGATAAGAAATATCCAAAAGCATAAGTGTTATGCATATGCATAGTTTCAACTAAATATTGAACCAAGCGTGATTGTCTATCTTGTCTTTCTTCTTTTGCCCCGGTGATACTTCCTCTCATACCTTCAGTTATCATTCGAACTTTTCCTTCTTCCCACGATTTCCAAATCAAATGGGGCACATAGAACAAAACTCCTTGCATAAAGAGTACGAAGGGTACCCATTGGTAGTAACTATGATAGATTTTTTCTTGATTTTCATTTCCCAAACCTGGGTGAGCCACTTCTGTCCCAACTTTTTTATGGTGTTCATGAGGAAGGGTGAAAGTGTATGTAATCCAGCAATAAGTGTTTAAAACGTGATATGGTACACTACCACTAATACATTGTATAGGATCCCCTAAAAAAATGTTTTGATAAATATTGTTTTAAATCAAAATTATGATGTTGATTCGGTTAAACGTCAATATGTAGCGCCATCTTTATGTAAAGTTAAAGAAAAAGAAAACTGTAATATTAAAATAGATATTACAGTGTTTTTGGGTATAAAAATGTTAACGGTTATAATAACGAGTCAAATGGTTGTACCACTTATAAATTGTATAGGATCCCATAAAAAAATGTTTTGATAAATATTGCTTTAAATAAAAATTATGACGTTGATTCGGTTAAACGTCAATATGTAGTGCCATCTCTATGTAAAGTTAAAGAAAAAGAAAACTGTAATATTAAAATAGATATTACAGTGTGTTCTTCTAATTTTAAAAGGCTCACTTTTAACATTCTCCTGATAAACAACGATTTATCTATCGGATAAATTTATCAGGAGGTGATAAAAGTGGGCCTAAAAGAAGTTTATTAAACGTGAAAGTTAAGAACGCTGTAATTTTAATTCATCAACAAATTTAACAGATTCCAATATAAAAGTGATTGTAAAAGCGGTTTTCAATCTCTTAAGGTGACCTTCGATTTATTCCATTACAACCAATTCTAGGACGTTTACGCAATTACGTATTAAAAGATTTTTTTACGACCACATGTTGGTGTTTTTAAGAAATATGTGATGGAAATTCCCCGATTTCGTTTTAAATTTTAATGAATCATAAACAAAACGGTTATACACGAGTTTTTGATATCGCTTTGAATTATAAGATGTTTTAATCAAATATTTATGTATTGATTAATACTAAATAATGATGTTGAATATTTTTGGATTATTTTTCGTCCTTTTCTTACCAATGAGATTATTAGCTGTAACTATAATACAACACACAAACAGGATAGCGCAAGTTATCCTATAATGAGCCCTGAAGATCATGTTGTCGATGATCGCCTTGTCTATTAAATAACGGATTTTGATCAAACCCGCTACCGCGGACACCATTCCAAACACCGTCATTTTGAACCTGTAAATTCAAAAAAAAGACAAGTATACATCTTGTACCTTTTAATTTCCGCTTAATATAAGATACACGTGGATGCAAATTAATTTATTGAATGAGCTGCTATTTAAATTATCCTCTATATTTAGGTACTTTAATTAACATCAATTTATGGGTAGGAGACGATCAACATCATCCTCTTTTTGTGAGTAGACGCAGAGGTCATAAGTTAACAAGTTGCGTAATTTCATCGTCGACGAATACGAGAACAAATGTAAAGACGGGTTTTGAGACAACTCATCTTTCCTCCTCGGTTGACAACTATTGACGACATTTCAAAATGGCCGTTTGCGCGACATTTTCGAAAATAAAACAAAAGAATCCGACCGAAGCGCGCAGTCTTGCACCTGCGCGTCTAACTCAAAAAAAAAATATATATATAATGAATAATTTATATACAGCATTAATTCTCTTATTCAAATCTCAACGTGATCTCTACCACACGCTTATACTCTTTTGTTATAATGATTATTACCTTTTGTTTCGTTATCACTAAGATTTTCTTATAAAAAAAATGTAAATATCACTACGAAACACTTTGTACTCGTACGGTTACGGGGGAATTGAGGTTGTGATCACAGAAAACTAGAACATTTTGGACTCCTATGTAGCCTTTAACCGCTAACGTTTCACTACTACTGTTGGCATGTTCACTTGGCGTTCTTTGGAACCGAGAAATCCCGTCAATGGTGGGGATAAAACATCCTCTTTCCCCTCGTCGTGGCTCGCGCTACTGTTTTGAGAATGTAGCAGAACCACATGTTGCTGGGGCTCTTTGTCAGATTGTTCTTCTTACACAGCCCAACATATTTCACAATATCACAAAATTAAATAAATAATAATCAAATATCACCGAAAACACAAATCTTTCATTAATATTTTATATCATTATAAACCGAAGACTTAATAAAAACAACTAAATTTATCCACATCAAAATCACACCTAAATAATAAATACATCCTTAAAAACAATTAATTTTACTCACACAATATATTTAATAAAATTTCAAAAATGATTTAATATCGTTGAGTTTTATTTGGCAAGTAAAGAATTTTTGTGCTGTGTAAAACGGACGGTGTAACTTGGGTACTCGTTGGCCTGAGGCTTCTTTAGTTATCCAGGGGAGGGGTGAGAAGGATTTTTCACGTCTTTTGTGCCATCGACTGACATAATGGAATGCCCCGATGATACCGTCAAATCCTAGAAGCAGGTCGGAAGGCGTGAATCCGATACCGTGAAGATTGTCGGTTCCCGACACTGCACCTACCCATTTGATTTTATTGAGGATATATCTCCGAACGCCGTTGATTTATGGGGAAAAGTATAAAAGACGAGGAACAGAACTAATTAAAAGCCCATTAATTTCGGAGCAATTAGTGCCGAAGACGTAAAGGACCTAGGCGTGGTTTTATATGAATCGGATAGGAAAATTCTATATAATTTTATAACCACACTTGGTTACTTAAAATATGATTTATGTTATTAGTGATAATAATTGTGTGGGGTTGGTAGTGATTAACAAGATGTACGGGCTGGAAATTACAATTACGATTTAAATGGGATTTGAAAAATACTTTTAATTAATTCTTAACTTTTAATTAAGAAAATGTTGAAAATTAAGCTAACCTTTTCGAGAAAGTTTCTTTTATATTTTTGGTACCTGCTTCAATAGTATTTCTTTACCCATTTAAAGAATAAGTGTACCTAATAGATTTCAAAGAATTGTTATTTTTAGAGAACATATTATTTGCAAGCACGTGCATAACAGTTGTAGAAGAAAACGTAACTTTTTTGTAACGTTTAAGTTACTAATTTATCATTTCTTATTAATTTGCAAGGTATGGAAATTTTTATTTATAGTGATGATGCATATCTTTTCCTAAAAACCGCTCAAGAATAAATAAAAAAATTGTTATCAATTAGATATTCAGGAATTCCTGATTACTACAAAAATGTATAAGTTTTGTACATAAATATGTTAACTTAAAAACGCAATTAACTCCAAATTTAGTATATCTTTTAAAACACATGTCCGGATGTGGCACTTTATCTGCACACATATCGACACTGTTTTTATAATTTTACATTTTAAATAAAAGAACATTCAAAAACGTTCATACATACAGGGTGTGTCAAATGTCTGGAATATAGCCAATAACTTCGCCATTTGTAGTTTTAAAGAAAAATGTTTCAAATACAAGTATCGTTATTAATCGTGGCGCATTTTTTGTCGGTATTTGCTTGTTTTTATTGTTTTTTGTTTCGTTGCTATGGCAACCAATATTGTTATTTTAAATGGGATGCATATTTTTTTTTGCATACTTTGATAGAGGGTAAGTGCCCCTATACGATGAACATATCAAATCATGTGGTTGTATAAGAAAAAAATCGACAAATATTAAATCAGTAATTTACAATCAAAGTAGGCAACGAAATAACGCCGGTGACAGCTTTAAATGTCAAAAAATGACAGTTTCAACAATTATGAATAATTAATAATGTATGGGTATGGTGACGCACATTTAATATAGTTTCGTCATTGGTAGCTGTCTTCACCACTTGCGGTGTTAAGGAACTTTTTTAATATTTTGGATACTGTGGATTGTTTATACGGGTAAATATTATTGAACAGTGTACAGGGTGGGCAAATTTGGGTGTTATTATAGGCTATCTCAGAAACTATAAGAGATACGAAAAAAGTAGGTGCCATGTCCCGGTCTCTTTTTCGAGACTAATCCAATCCCGCAAACACCAAACCTCTATATTCTTTTGTTTTTAAGTTATAACCAAAAAGTCAAATTTTCCTGATTTCAAAAAATACTCATATTACGTTTATTTTTCAAATTAGAGAAATGGGGTTGATACGTTCTTAAGACACTTTTTTAAGTAGAATATACTGCTGTTGAAAAATTTTAAACATACTTCATGATTTTTGAGATACAACACAAAGTTGTGTTTTTTTAAATACGAACTATACTTGATTATGATGTTACTGAAAAGAGCATACTTTTAGCTTTCCAATGATGTATCGCATGTATGGTGTCTTTGCAGAAAATAAGCGTTAATTTTCAATTCCAAAATAGTAAGTGTCATGGTTCAAAATTTTGATTATAGTAGGCGTGTCCGGACAACAAATACTACCTAGTGGCTATAATGTATGGTTTTGCACGAATATGACGGAATAAAGTTGGTTTTGTACCAACGAATAAAAACTTTGAATAGTTAATTTAAATTTCTCATCATCTTATCCCTGACTTTGTTCACCAATAAAAAATGGTTAGCAAGTAAAATTTGTTTATTAAAAATACAAGAAATATATTAATTAATGAATAATTAAATATGGACAACTTCGGGAACTAAACAGTCACAAACTGTCATCTTCTTTTACTAAACTTACTGGTTGTACGGTTAGAACAGTTCGGAATCAATGAATGAAATCTTTGCTAGTATTTTCCCAGTTTTCCCCAAACATAAGATTTAGAAGTTTTTTTATATCAGCAATCTTTTCTTTTGAAATTGGGTGAGATAGAGGAAAATTAGAGATTATAAACTGGGAGCGGACTTTCCATTGATATATATGAAGACTTATGTATCATCTTCAAAGCGGACTCCAATATATTCTATATTTAATTTTATCATTTTATTTAAAGATAATGCGGAACTTCTTAAACGGGAAACTTCTTTCGTAAAATTCATGAATATAATGACAAGTAAACTCACGTTGCTATAGTAACTAAGTAGCATTTAGCGTTCTGCTCGCCTACTATAATTAAAAATTTGAATATTAATCATTAATATTTAAAAATTGAAAAATAACGCTTATTTTCTGGAGATACATCATGCGTGCTATATATCATTGGAAAGCTAAAAATATGCTCTTTTCAATAACATCATAATCAACAATAGTTTGTATTTAAACAAATACAACTTTATGTTATATCTCAAAAATTATCAGCTATATTTAAAATTTTTTAACGGCAGTATATTCTACTCAAAAAAGTGCCTGTAGAATGTATTAACCCCATTTCTCTAATTTCAAAAATAAACGAAATATGAGCATTTTTTGAAATCGCTAAAATTTGACTTTTCGGCTATAACTTAAAAACAAAAGAAGATTGAGATTTGGTCTTTGCGGGATTAGATTAGTCTCGGAAAAAGAGACCAAGACATGGCACCTACTTTTTTCGTATCTCTTATAGTTTCTGAGATAGCCTATAATAACACCCAAATTTGCCCACCCTGTACAAATCACCGTACCCATAAAGCATTAATATTTAGATTCTTTGTCCTTCGCTTAATTGCGCCATATTTGTTTAAACTGTCAATTTTTTGACATTTAAAGCTGTCAACGGCTCTATTTTCGGCGCCTACTTTGATTATAATTTTTTCTTATAAAACCATATGATTTGATATGTTCATCGAGTGGAGGGATTTATCTTCTATCAAAATATGCAAAAAAAAACATATGCATCCCATTTAAAATAACAATATTGGTTGCCATAGCAACGAAACTTTTGATCTAAGTATATTAACATTCTGAGGTATATCGGTGAGAATAGCAGGAGCTACAGATGTATTAACTCGTTTACTTTTCGATCCATCTTCCACAACGTAAATTAAAAGACATCTTAATCTGGGTTACTTATAAGTATAAGAAAATGCCATATTCGATATATCACGAGGACAGTAGTATCGTATGTAAACGGGGCTCATTGTACCGTGACTGCTGGTCTGTGTCGTGTTATTTCTGACGTTATTTCATGAATCACTACTACATTCTTAGCCCAGGGTCGTGAGAAAACACTTGCCACTTTCGTTCAATCGCTTGCAGGCGAATTTTGTTTGGCGTCGCCGTATAGAGTAGATCAGGTGTGTTCGTGTTGCTTTGGCATTTCATATTGGATCTAACTGTACTTCTTGATGGTGTACATATTCATTAAATACGGTGCTTTTAACTGAGAAAATAGAGCCCGACATGAACCGAGAAATAACGAACGTTTCATCAAGCGAGTTTAGGTGGCAGGTAGTGACCGAGCATCACCTTTAGGAGCATTAATTAAGCGATAATTTTGTCCAACGCTGAGCGCGTTATCTTTCAGTCGACCGTGGAGTAGGTACGGGTTACGTGTCGACAGCGAGTTCAGGTCCCAGGTACAGTCTGTTCAATCTCCGCCTGCCTACCTGAACACTTTATGGGAGGAATTATTTTCACGATCATAAATATTTTACTCCGCCGAACCTAGGAGAAGAAAGGTCGTAACCGCGGTGAGGTTCGCAAACCTTTACCAACCTCACACGAAGACTGTCACGTATCGCGCTGTATTTATTGAACATAATTGCAGCATTACGTGGGCAAGATAACTATCGGCGTCTTTGATGCCGTTCTATTCGTGATGATCACGCAAGAACTGTTAATTTTTTTTTATTATTAATATTCTTCGTTGCTTTGTGGTTTTACTTTTTATAAAAGAATATGTTTGTATGATAATAAGTTACAGCAGCCAGCGCGTGCAGCGACCTACTACAGAAGATCGGAACAATGAGTTTGCGTTATTTTCAAAACTGGTATGGAAGCGAGCCGACCGCGGCCTCCAACGCCAAAGAAGTCCACTAATGCGCTTAATGCCACAACGACGGGCAAAATAACAGGTCGCCCGATTGCGATAAACGCAAATACTGACGGGAAATTACTGTGTTTTACAGACGGTCTTTAGACCCAATACCTGCCGGCTAGTACTGGGAAATGTGTTGACTTTATTAGTTAGGATATAAGAGAAATACGTCCTCATTCACATAAATTCTATAATAATATATCTGCTTTATTCTCGTGATGTTAAAACAATGATCTTCAAATGTCATATTCATTTTCGTAATTCTAGGGATATAGTTAACCATATCTCTGGGCGTTATTTCAAACGAGTTCTTAACAGGTAATTTTAATCTTCTCGGCCAGAATAACGGTGTTCAATTATTCGAATTTATCTAATTTAACCAATTGGACTAAGTGAAGGAATTTAAAACGTTTCGTTGATGAATTGCAATTGAAGAATCTTTGTTCGTTGTCCTATATAAATCAAATTTAGCAACAAAATCGATTATGATTTGATACCTAAGAAAGCTGGGAGAAAATGTTGTGGGTAAAAAATGTTCTAAATTAATCCAAAATGTGTTTATCATAAAGGATTTTTATCCATCATTAATTGTTACCAACCTAATTAGCGGAGAATAGCGAAATATTCAAATTTAACATTTTCAACATCAAAACGAGTCGTAAATTAAAACGTAAAGTTGTTGTGGGGATATGGTTCGAATAAAAAATCTTCTAAATTAAGCTAAGAAGCAAGATTAATACACGATTTAAAGCTTTGATTAGTTATTGCCAACCTAAAATTTTTAAAAGTTAAAAGATTCAAATTTAACAATAAAATCGATTACGATTTGATACCTAAGAAAGATGGGAGAAATAATTTATACCTAAAATGTTACAAACTCAACCAGAATACATATTTACATCAGAAATTTTCAATCCACCTGCCAGTTTTGCCAACCCAACCCAGTATAGTGTGTATTTGTTGATTTTGACCCTAATTTGGTTATAATTCAAAAACTGAAAGAGATGGAAGAAGTATCTTTATTCAATGCGTCTTATGAGTTAAATCTAAACATTTTTTGTTTAAAAAATAATTCTCCATCATGCACAATTAATATGTTATAAGCGAAAATGATCAAAAACGTCAAAATTTGGTTCTATTCTTGAGGTGGGTTGGTACTACTCATCGATGGATTGAAATAACTGATTAGATATGTTTAATGGATTAATTCTAAATCTATCACATACGAATTATCTTAAAGAAAGTTGTCTATTCTTGAAAAACCATTAACCAAAAACAGTAGTGGGTCTCCGAAGCACCAATCTTGAGAGGTCTCACGGGGTATACCTCGGGGCACAACTAATTAAGACCTTCCCCCGCACGGTACACGCGAAACGTCGATGGTGGCATACCTCCAGCGGTCCCAAGACGACGTTACATAACACCGCCGTTGGTATATATCCACTCTTGGAGAATGCGCGCGAGCGCAATACGGCAGTCAAAGAAGCAGGGGCTCCTCTCTTCGGTTGCGAGGAGACGAGCTGGAACGGTGGGTCTCCCTGCAACCGGCACGACGAAAAAACGCCCCAGAGCCTTTTCCAATTTAGGTATGCTGTTGACACGGGCTCGCTGTCGCGTTATAACCTTGGGACAGTTCAATGATCCAACCGGAGAGGCAGCAACGGCGACGGTTTTGCTGCCTGTATCGGGTAGAGAGCGAAGAGGTTACGGCACAGTTACACCGACTCTTGGGAATATTAATGAATTACGTCGAATGTCAACAGCAGCAGCAATCGGGATTCAGTCGAGCTCAAGGAACCACCTTCTATGGGAATGCCTTCGTACCTCGAAGAGTTGGTAACTCACTGAATAAGCCGCTGTATAAGAGTTATGAGCTTGTTGCTTCTACGTACGGGCATTTAAAGTACGTGCGGTGGTTTACAGACCCTGCTACTCGTGCTGCATGCCAATTATGTACAGTATTCATTATCGAAACTTATCTATGTCCATTGGGTATTGCTTGTTGGAAAATGCCAAAAGTTATTTTTTATTGCTTAAATAAATTTTAGTCGTGTCATATATAAAGCATTTTATTTAAATACACACCTAGACCTATTCAAATAAAAGCACAAGATAACGATATCGATTCTACATTTTGTATACTTTAAAATAAGTTATCTTTTACAGGAAGTTGGGTTTAGATCTGGTACCTCGTCAAGGTTCTCAAATGGTTGATCCAGAAGATATGTCTGTAGTTGAACTATATCATGTACACGTTTCGAGCGCTGAAAATTCCCAAGGTGTTTCTGTACGTAAACGTAAATCCTTTTCATTACCCAAAATTTATTTAGTATTGATGTATTTTTAGTCAAGGGGGACAATCAGAAAACGGGAAACGAAGAAAATCTTAACTCATCACTTATACTTTTGTATGAGAGATTTCGGGCATCATATTGGTGAAGATACCGAAATTTATTTTTCTTTGTACGATGGCCGAAAACAATCCTACATTTCCGAACGGTTCCTAGTCAAAATTTCCAAAGAAGGATTTTCAAATTATGTAGACAAATTACATAGCAACTGTACCGTTTTTACTGTAATTTTTTTTAATAAAAATTTATTATTTTTTTGTATTAATATCGTGATTTCTTAGGATTTAGGAAATGATGATCTTTCAAAAGAGATTTACATCGTAGCGCACATAATGAGAATAGGAAAAATGCTTTACTCAGAGAGTTCCAAAAAGACTGAAAAGAACGTTTCAACGATGCAGCAAGTTTATAAACGACCACACGGAGTTGCCATTCAGAATTTAGCCGACGTGTTATTAAATAAAAATGATTCCGACGAAAAAGAATTCACGCTCAAAGTAAGGAGATATAATTTCGTTTGGTTAATGATTATTTACTTTAATATGTGTTATTAATTATTATTCCAATATTTTTAATATCTCTATTAACTTTTAAGGTATACCAAGGTGAAGAAAAAGATTTTCATCAACTACACGAATCATTAATTAGACAATCTGGAAAATATAGCGCTCTTTCGTGTCAACCAAACTATGGTATAATAATTTCATTAAAAATGTACCATGGTCAATTAAGCCAAATCAAAGAAGAGCATCCATTACTCTTTAAAAATATGAGTTTAACGAATAAGTTGGGTTTTCCTGATGTGATAATGCCTGGGGATGTGCGAAATGATTTGTATTTGTTATTGGAACGAGGTGATTTCGAAAGAGGGGGTAAATCCACTGGAAAAAACATAGAAGTTACAATTATCGTATTGGATAGTGAAAAAAATTTGTTACGGGTAAATATTTTATTTTTTTAAGATTAATATTATTTTAATTCATTACTTTTTCATTCAGCATTGTTTATGGGGTGCATCAGGGATGGATGGAGCTTCCGAATACAACTCAATGATAATTTATCATCATAACTCACCAGCTTGGGCTGAAAATGTTCGTTTAACACTACCAATAGATAAATTTGCCGGGGCTCACGTGCGATTAGAATTCAGACATTGTTCAAGTAAGATCATTATCAAAAAAAAATTTCTTTATTAAAATATTTTTTATTTAGCAAAAGATAAAAACGATAAAAAATTATTTGGTTTTTCATTTATCCGATTAATGGATAAAGATGGGGCTGCTGTAAAAGATGGTCTTCACGAACTTTACATTTATAAATGTGAAGATGCACAAAAATTGGATAATTGTGGTTACTTGAGTTTGCCTTCTTTTAGTAAGGACATTGAAGGTAATCATGAAGCGAGTGGGGCATTTTCAAGAAGCCACAAAGAAATTATTTGCGTTCGAACTTTATTATGCTCTACGAAATTAACACAAAATGGTAATTAATTAATAAAAATTAAATTATACAGGGTTTCCCAAAAGTAACGAATAAATTCGTTACAACAATTAAGAACAGTTTATGGAAAAATCGCTGAGACAGGTATAAAAATTTAAATTTTTTGCAATTATTTGGTATAGATTTTAAATTTGTTTCGCTCTTTTTAAACGAGTAATGACGTCATCGATATTTTTTTCATATAGCAATGCCCCATTTCTATTACGGAATATGAAAGAGGACTTTTTTCTGAATCTAGTACAGTCAATATTAATATTGCTTACATAAGAAAATTTTCGAGAAAAATTATCTTAAAGTTTCATGATTTTCCATTCAATTGAGATAGAAAAATAGCAGTAGCCATGCGTAACCATGGCAACCAACTGTTTCAGATATCAAAAATTCATCATGGCCTTAATAAAATATCTAAAACAAACAATTGGTTGCCATGGTTACGTATGGCTACTGCTATTTTTCAAAAAAATCTTTTTTTAAGCGATTTTTTTTTAATCAATGTGAAATGACCCAAAAAACGTTAAAAAAGGAAAGAAAGTGCTGAAAAGTGACTAACACTAGATTAACTTCAGTTATAAAACTTCTATTATATGATAACTAACTTCAGGTTTAAAATGTCAACTCAATTTTGACATATTTGTAATCTTCATTAAAAAATCCTTTAAAATGAGTACAAACACGACATATTTATCTTCAATATTAATGAAATTATGGTCAAATTCCGGTTAAGAATGTCAACGTCAATTTTGACATAATTGTAATCGTCGTGAAAAATCCTTTAAAATGAGTCCAAACTTGATACGTTTAATTCCAATATTACTCGAGATATAAGCAACTTTCGATTTGAAATGTCAATGTCATTTTGACATATTATTAATTTTTATAAAATCTCTTAATATTTGTCACAAAAACAAAAATATAATAAAAAAGAATGTTATTAATATTTAAAAATTAAATTGCTATCTTCATTGTTGCTAACTTCAGGTTTAATGTTTTTTATTCTAACTTTTTTGTTTTTTGAGATAAGTGCGTCATCTTTGGACTCATTTTAAAGGTTTTTTAATGAAGATGACAAATATGTTAAAATTGACGTTGACGCTTCAAACCGGAAGTTAAGTATGTCGAGTTTGGACTCATTTTAAATGATTTTTTATGAAGTTGAATGATGAAAAGACATAAACTTTTAATTTTATACTAACATCTAGAAAATGACACTGGTCCGAAATTATCTATTTTTTCTATTGCAGAATTTCTTGGTGTATTTTAGGTATTTTGGTATTCTGCATTTTTTACTAAGATAAGTTACACCTTTTCCTACCAGACAGCAAATCTCTAAAAACGATAAAATGTCGCTTAGTCAAGTGATGTATAACGCGGTCCAATTGTTTTAACGAATTTATCCGTTACTTTTGGGAAGCACTGTATATTTTTTATTATTAATTTAATAATTTTTTTAGTTGATTTATTATCTTTATTACGATGGAAATCTCACCCGGAGAGAATACAAGAATCTTTACAACGTGTATTAAGACTAGGTGATGAAGAATTAGTAAAATTTCTTCAGGATGTTTTAGACGCTTTATTCGCGTTATTTTCAACTGAAGAAGGAAACTCTACGCATTACAGCGGTCTCGTTTTCCATGTTCTAGTCTCTATTTTCAGCTTATTGGATGAATCAAAGTTTCAGTTTTTTAAACCAGTTTTAGATGCTTATATTAAAGATCATTTTTCAGCCGCTTTAGTTTACAAGTAAATTGAAAATAAAATTATCGAGAATACATTGATTAATTAAAATTTTTAGGGGATTATTAACCAGTGTTCAACACTGCGCCGATTACGTTTTATCTTTTGATAAGCAAGAACCAATTCAGAAATGCTTTAAAAGTTCCGAATATATTTTTAAATTAATCATACAAAGTCGATTGTTGTTTTCGCGCGCAACTTGTGGACAACACGAAGATAGTTTTAGACGAGATTTGTACAACGTTTTTGCTTCCTTAAATAATATGCTGTCGATAAGTTCACAAACAATTATTCAAACTCAGGTATTTACTCAGGCTATTATTCACTAAGGCTAAGTTTATGTCGCGAGTCGCATAATTAACCTGAGTGAATAATAGCTCATTATATGAGAGTAGAATATTATACTTTGTCCACAACTACTATTGAAATTAATTCCATAAATTTATTTTTTAAACCAATTTTTGAATTTTAAACGTCAATGTGACACAAATTCAATGTTACCAACTGTAACCAACTTCACAACAATTTGTCAAAATTAAATGTCAATTTTTGAAACGTCATTTTTTTTACGAAAATTGATTACTTTGTGAAAAGTGATTACCCTTTCGTTTTAGAAAACTCTTTTATAAGGTATATATTATAAGGTAGTCGTGGACAAAAACGTTTTTGAACCAAATTTTAAATTATTATTTACTTTATTTTATAGGCTGCTCTTCTTTATTCAATAAGTCCCGTTTATGAGCAATTAGTTGAAGTTCTTCCAATAATTGAGGTTACAAAATTTGCTGTTGCAATGTTAGATAAGATTCCAAAAGATCTTCCACAACCTCTTGTACAAGCAAAGTTAACGGCCATCAAGAATTTAGTTCAAACTAAATTATTCCAAGACGATGGTATTTTTATTAATTAATTAATTTTAACTGATTTTAATAATTTTTATTTTAGAATCACGTAGTATTTTGTTGACAAATACTTGCAAACATTTACGTTACCACATGTTATATAGGGTGGAACTTAAATTATGCACGGAAATATTAGGAGAAATTTTAGGTTTTCTTTGTAAACATCGAAAGTTATCAGAAAAACAAGAAAAAGTTAATAATTGTATTCACCACGATATTGATACTCTCTGCATAAGTATTTTTGAAGTTTTAATTCAAACCGTTTTGATTATAATTGATAAGGATACAAAAATTATTGTAAGCAATTTTATATTTGGGATGAACTTTACGTTTTACTTTACTTTTTAAGGGTTGTTTGGTGGCATGCCTAATTGGATTATTACAACTACTTGATGAATACCACTATAAAAGGTTATGGGAAACGTTGATGGGAATTAATTTAGACAGGAAACCTTTAAAAGATTTCTTAATGAGAGTCTTTTTGGTATTTAGAGAGTTGGTTAAACAAGAAGTTTATCCACCCGATTGGCTTATTATTAAAATGGTCGCTAATAATGTTATGTTAAAAGCTTTACAGGAATTAGCTCAACCACTAGCTTTTAAATTTTTGGATAGCCGAACTGGATATTTTGATAAAGAAGTAATTCTCATTTTATTTCATCCATCAATCTAATAATTAATTTAATTTAATCAAATTTTAGTTATGGACCAATTATTTTAATTTAGCAGTAGATTATCTTACCCAACAATCGTTGCAATTAGAACAATTTTCAGAAGTAAAACGAGAAAAAATTATCGAAAAATACGGAGATATGCGCGTTTTAATGGGTTTTCAAATATTATCAATGTGGTCTCAATTAGGTTATTTATTGACCTTTTTAAACGCAATTTGAAAAAACTAAATTACGAATATTTTAGGTGAACATAAACTTCATTTCATCCCATCTATGGTAGGACCATTCTTGGAGGTGACTTTAGTACCGGAATTGGAGCTGCGCAAAGCGACGCTTCACATATTTTTTGATATGATGGAATGCGAACAACAAGCAAGAGGAAACTTTAGACAAGTCGAAAGTGAACTTATTGATAAATTGGATATTTTAATTTCTGAAAATAAGGGTGATGATGAATACAGAAGATTATTTAATACAATGTAAGTAATATTTAATTCATTTTTAATTGGGTGTAATTTAATGGGTCGATATTCTCTGTAATTATTAATTAATTAATTGGAAACTTTTTACAATCCGTGTAGAATTTAATGGATATGATGTATCGAGCCTAAATTATAACCCAAGAAATATATGCTTTTTTTATAACCAATAACATAATTTCCTTTTTTCATGTTTATAAAAAAAAATAAACAGGGAACATTTAAGTGCTGTGTAAGTCATTTCGTTATCATGTAGTTTAATGATAATTAGATGTTTCTTTTTATTTATTATCTTTTTTTTTTTGGCTTTTTCATTGACATTTTTAAATCATAAAGCCTTTTATTTATTTTTTTTTTTTTGGTTTATTATTGAATGCATTTTATGCTATTTTTAAATAACTTTCTAGAACCGCAATCGTAAATTTGTAATAAACTCACCCTAAATTCTAATTTAAGCAACAATTACCTTCCAATTGACAAGAGAAACTTTTACCTGATAATTTCGTAGAAATCCTTTGTTAATCACGTATTTGCTTTCATTGTTAGTTCGGCTTAATCAGTTCGAAGCATTTCTTGTTAGATAAAACAATGCCTTTACTTTGTTGTGTTCCAAAAAATAGGTTTGAATATCACGTTTTTTTTTTTAATTCGTAAAAACGATTTGTTGCCATTAATATAGGCTTTTGGATCGAGTCCAAGCCGAGGATCCGGCGTGGAAAGACAGCGGAGCTGCTTTTATAAGCTCAGTAACGAGACTTCTAGAAAGACTTTTGGATTATCGAAGTGTTATTCAAGGCGATGAAAATAGGGATAAAAGAATGTCTTGTACTTTTAATTTATTGGTATGTCTTTTTATTGTTATCTATTTTTGGTTTATGAAGAAACGATTTTAGAATTTTTATAAAAACGAATTTAATCGAAAAGAAATGTATTTGAGATACATTTATAAATTACACGATTTACATTTATCGGCTGAAAATTACACTGAAGCGGGATTTACAATGAAGTTATATGCTGATCAATTATCTTGGAATAATAATATGGTTACTGATCCTGCTTATGCTGGTTATACGGAAGGACAAGTTAAAGAAAAGTTGTATCATTTGATTATAAGCCATTTTGATAGAGGGAAGGTACTGATTTAGAACTATTTTTTTAAATTTTTATTATATAATTTTAATTGAATTAGTGTTGGGAAAAAGGAATACCTTTGTTGAAAGAATTGGCTGTTTTATACGAAACTCAATTATTTAATTACCGGGCTTTGAGCGATATTTTAAGACAACAAGCGAAGTTTTACGACAACGTTTTACAACAACTTAGGCCAGAACCTGAATATTTCAGAGTTGGTTTTTATGGATTAAGCTTCCCATTATTTGTCAGGGTAAATTTAATCTCTAATTATTATTATTAGCACTAATTTTTGTTGTAATTATTTTTAGAACAAACAATTTGTATACAGAGGATTAGAATACGAAAGAATCGGCGCTTTTACTCAAAGGCTACAAACTGAATTCCCTTCAGCTCAAATTTTAATGAAAAATACTCCACCTGATGACACAATAATAAATTCAGATGGACAATGTATCCTTTTTAATTATTATTTTAATTTAAACTTATTTTTAAAAAAAATCTTTAACATCTTTTATTAGTTATCCAAATAAGCAATGTGAAACCAATTCCAGAACCGAGTACGATCGTTTCAGCGCACGATATCCCCGAAAAAATCTCGCGTTTCTATCATTACAACGACGTAAGAAGATTTCAGTTCGATCGTCCAATTCACAAAGGAATTGTCGATAAAGAAAACGAAATTAAAACGTTGTGGATAGAAAGAACTATATTGGAAACAGAAAATTCATTACCTGGAATTTTACCATGGTTTGAAGTTATTAGTAGAACGACGGAAGATGTTCCTCCTGTTAAATTTGCTTGCGAAACTATGCAACTTGTTCAAAAGGAGTTGAGGCAGTTAATTGCAACGTACACCCAGGAACCTAAACGAAATTTAAATCCTTTTACTATGAGATTACAAGGAATTATCGATGCGAATGTTCAAGGTGGCATCAGTAAATATCAACAAGCTTTTTTCACACAGGAATTTTCTAAATTATGTCCAGAACATATGCCATATGTTTATATGTTGAAGAATTTAATTTTTGATGCTATTCAAGTAAGTACATCCGCTTTTTTTTATACATGTCGATTAAACTAAATTATTAGAACTTTTATACAGGGTGTCTCAGCGAAATCGTTCATTAGACGTTCTGGTCAAAATAAAAATTTGAGAATTAAGATTTAAGTATTATTAATTGCGTTCACTTCGACTAAAATATTTTCAGATTTCTTAAGGTTAAACCGGAAGTCGCCACCTACTTTATTCTTTTAAATGGAACACCTGTATATTTTTACATATTTGGATTTGTCTGTTGTCAAGGTTTATGAATAAGTTTACTTTTTGCAATTTGATTCGGCCGTTCTCGAGTTATTCGATTTTTTTTAGAAAAATCTGCTTCAGCAGACATTTGTTCAAAAAATCAGAGAACACTCAATTTTTGGGATATCAATTTAGGATTCAAAACATGCTTAAGCAACTTGATGGAGTATGTTTTGGTGCTGAGAATGGCTGTCTAGATCGTTTGGTCATTTTACTATGGCACGTTAACTTTTCGAAATTTGGAAGTACCATAACTTCATTTTTTTAAATGGCACTTCCCATATTTTATTATTTAGTCGTCTTCGGCGTCTCATTTTACATCTTTTATATCCTATATGTTCTATATGTAACATTAAAAGTTTGGGAGATAATTAGGGTTTTTTGAAAAATGCACACATACAGGGTGTTTCAAACGCTTTGTTTTGGAGATACAGGTGTTCAAATTAAATTTTTAAATTGATCTTTATTTAATATTACACGTGTATTTCAACCGATTCTTTTCAAATTTGATACACGGAGGTTTTTTAGCATGATAAAGATGATTATGGAGTCCGTTTTACTATAGCCAGTAGAGGGCGCTCTGTAACGTATTCTTTACGGATTAAAATAACAATAACTTTTCTGATAGTATACTTTTTGGCTTTTTGAATTTTCTCTGTACTTTTTAAGCAAAAACTCTTATCAAAATGGGTACTCTTATCAAAATGCGCAAAAGTTGATCGTTTTGAAGATAATCCGCTTTTTATTATTACACATCGCTAATAATTTTCATACTCCTACCTTTTCATTATCCTACACAAAAATCTGGAATAGGTATATATTCAAGTTTCTTTTAAAAGAACTTTCTATTTATGTTCAATGAGCTTTACTATTCTTACTCTTTTTAAATAACACAAAAGTTGAGATAATTATATGTTTGTATAAATATTTATTAATAATGAGTTAAAAGTAACTGACAAAAAATATTTTATCACAAATTGTATTCTACATTATTAGTTTAATTTCTTTTTTTTACTTATTTTTATTACAATGTATTGTTGGCGATAATGAAAATCATGGAAAAAAAGTTTTAAACACAAAGATTGTTTACACCATGCATAAGTTATGACAGCTAGGAGAAAGTAGCTTTCCATCTGCAAATATGATGTAGTCAACTGTGGCTATGAAGTATTAGCCAACATAATAATACAATTATAAAATTAACTTTTTGGCAGACTTTTTATTTTGTGTCTGTTATGTTTTGCTTCAAAAACAATTGTGTGCAAATATAAAAATAATAACAAATGAAATTACATTTTGTTTTTAAATGGAGCTGCTGCCACAGCACGCTACATCCACTTCCCCTCCTATAAAGAAAGAACAGAAAGAGGGAAAACATTTAGTCAAAAATTTGAATTAAAATTTAAAATGTATTTTTTTAGTTTTATTAATTATTAAATTGTTGACTTCAGGAGAAACGTTTCCGTTCAAAAAGAAAGCCGGTTTCAGCAAATCGAGGCTAACATTTATTTCTTTACTGTCTTTCAATACAACGAAAAATTTTGAAAATCTCTTCAACACTCTTTAATTTTAACAAATACAAAGTTTGACCTGAATAATTCTTTGTGAACAAAAGGTTTTTGACTGGAATGTATGGTTGACTGAACTGGTTTAATGTCAGCAAAAGATGATTTTAAACTTGATAATAATGGTTCAGTTTCAATTGATGGTTCGGTAGGTATGAAAAATTCTCCTGGTAATCTGAGTTGCTGACCATAAACCAATTCAGCGGATGAGCAACCTAAATCCTCCTTTAGGGATGACCTGAGACCTAGGAGAATCAAAGGCAAGTCATTGTTCCATCTAGTAGAATTACCTCGAGCAATAATCGCTGATTTCAAAGTACGGTGAAATCGTTCAATCATACCGTTACTTTGTGGGTGATAAGCAGATGTGTGTATTTGATGAGTACCTAAAAATAATTGGAATTTTGAAAATAATAGTGATTCGAATTGTCGTCCTTGATCGTGAGTGATCATGGTAGGAATACCGAAACGGCTGAAGTAATGCCTGAAAAGAGTATCTGCAATAGAGGCTGCAGAGATATCTTTTAGAGGAAAAGCCTCTGGCCACCGTGTGAAACGCTCAATGACTGTGAGCAGATAAGTACATCCAAGAGATGGAACAAGTGGGCCAACCAAATCAATGTGAATGTGTTCAAATCGAACTTTTGGAACTTTGATTTTGAGAATTGGCGATTTTGTATGCCTTTGTATCTTAACTTTCTGGCATTGTAAACATGATTTTGTCCAAATACGAATTTGTTTCGACATATGAGGCCAAAAGAATTTTGTTTTTATTAAATGAATGGTTGCTCGAATGCCAGGGTGAGATAAACCATGAAATTTTTGTATAACTATTTCTCTAAATTGCTGCGGAATGTAGATTCGCGGAGATTCCGTTGATATTTCACACCATAATTTGATATCAGGTAGCGTTGTGGGTTGTAGCAATAACTGATAGGGTGTTGTAGTGTGAGTGTGAGAAAATTGTTTATGTAGTAGGTTCGACAATTCGATATCTGTGACTTGAGCTTTGTAAAGTGTAAGTGTGTCGGGGTACTGAGAATTTAGGGATTCAATATTTGTCCTGGACAAAGCGTCTGCAACAATATTGGAATTTCCCTTAATGTATCTCACATCGGATGTATATTGTGTTATGTAATTTAGGTACCTGGTTTGTCGTGGTGTTTTTTCTGTTGATGAAAATATTGCCGTAGTTATAGGTTTGTGGTCGGTGAAAACTGTAAAATTGTTTCCGTGTAGGAAATGATTAAAAAATTTTATGGCAGAATATATTGCCAATAGCTCTCTGTCGAAAGTTGAATATTTAACTTGACTTGGAGAAAGTTTATGTGAATAAAATGCTAATGGTTGCGGTGTTTCATCAATAATTTGGCTCAGAACTGCTCCTATACCTGTATTAGAAGCGTCTGTGGTAAGTGACAGCGAAGCGTGAGGAGATGGATGAGCCAGAACGGTAGATTTCGTTAGAAGATCTTTAGCTGTTGCGAAGGAAATTTCATGTTCATCTGACCAAGATGTTATTAATTTTTGTTTAATTGAATAAAGCGATGATGAAAGATTATGAAGGGGTGATAAATACATA